GGGGGCAGGAAGGCATAAAGAAGGAAAGAAAAAGGCTTATAAATCCGCTTATTTCTCAGCTTTGGGAAAGCCTCAGACTGAGGGGGGCCCTCACTATAAAAAGGAGGGGTGGCATCTGGGTGGCTTAGTCGGTTGAGCGTCTGACTTTGGCTCAGGTCATGATCTCCTGGTTCGTGGGTTCCAGCTCCGAATCAGGCTCTGCTGACAGCTCAGCCTAGAGCCTGCTTCGGATTCTGTGTCTCCTATACCCCTACCCTGCTGGCACTCTCTGTGGGTGTCTCTCTAAGGGGGAGGGACACCTACATATGAATGAAACCCAAATACAATAACAAGGTTATAATCGAATCCCACGTACTAACAATGACAAAATCAGATGGGGTTGGGGATTAGAACATGGAAAAATAAACCCAGGAGACATCGTGGAAGGAGAGGACTAATCTGGTCATGGAAGATGGGAATGCCAAGGAGGGCATCTTGGGTCCCAGGAATGATGAAGCATCACCCTCTCCCCAGGCCAGAAGAGGTTTCATGCAGCCACACCTGAATTTCTTGCCTTCTAGAGAGAGGCCAGAACTCACCTGAGTCAGGGTTCTTAGGAACTTCATTCTCTTGCCTAGAGGCCTCCTGAGCCACGTATAAAGTCAGCCGGTGACGGATGGGCCTGGGCCAAGAAAACAGTGTATGTAAAGTAACAGCCCCCTCCCTGGGAGGGACCCCACCTCCTCTCAGGTCTCCAGGGAGGGAGATCACCAAGCGTTTCTTAAGCATTTAATGAATGCTGAACCCTGAGAGAAGAGAAGATGAGAAAAATCCATCTCTGTCCTCAGAAACTGAGTGATGCAAATGGGATGGCTACAGAAAAAGGAGATCCTAGGAGCCTAACTTTAGCCCATCCCTGCCAGTCTGGCTCTGTGACTGGTAGGTCACAGAGGTAGGTCACTGTCCTTGGGCCTGAGTTTCTCCCTCTGTAAAACGAGTGTGTGGGACTAAGTGGTCTTTAAGGTACCTTCCAGCTTGAACATTCCATGAGACACAACCACAAGCTGAACTTGGTAAATGCCACTACAGAGGGAAAGAGATCCTGGTTGGCAGTGCCCAGCACCTGGCTCTAAGAGTATTGAAAAGGCGGATCCCATCGGCAGCCCCACATATCTGGATAAGGTCCCGGCGGGTAAGCTTCAGCAGATCAGTGCCTGCAGAATCAGACAGGGCCAGATTTGGGGAAGAGTCCCAGGATCGAGGATGGCAAGGGACACAGTCCAACATTAGTCTACAAATAACCCTATTATGTCCAGACATGGGGGTCAAACTTGGATTCAAATCCCCGTTTTGCCACTTGCTTGTTAGCTGTGTGTCTTTGGGCAAGTTGTTTAACCTCTCCGAGCCCTCTCCTTATGGGTAGTATATAAATTATACGGGATAATATATGAGATAAATTATACCGGATAATAAATGAGAAGAGAGCCTAGCAGGCATAGTGCCTGGCAACTCTTAGTCCCAACTAAAAGTTAGCTGAAGAACACACAGCAAGCCAGGACCATAGGCAGGCTTCCTGCCTGAATGTTCTGCCCTCAGTCCCCCACAGGTACGGTCCCTGCCAGATGCCAGCCTCACCAGTGAAGTTGGCCAGCATCCGGCAGTAGCTGGAGAACCGGTGCCGGTGCAACCACTGCTGTGTCTCTAGGATGGAGGCTCCAGGGCTCAGATCCTGAGGCATAAAGAGGGCAGTCCAGGTACCACCATGGACCCATGGACTTGAGAGCAAGGGGTAGGAGAACAGCCCTTGCCCTTGGGGGCCCCAAGTCTGAGAGCCTAGGCTCATCCTGTGAGTGGCAAGTGCCCAGTCCTATGGGGAAATTTTGCCATCTGTGGCCATACAACCTCTGTCCACCAGGGGGCAGAGCCACCCTATTCTGGAGAGTGCGATAAAGCCCTGAGAAGGGTTTGAGATAGAGGTTGGGGGACTGGAAAGTGAAGACGCACCTCAGCGGGGCTGCCCCCCAAGGTGTCCAAGGCGAACGGTGGGGAGGAGCAGAGCCTGTGGGGGAGCAGAGAGACAGCAGTGCAGCCGGTCTCCAGCCCCACCCACCCTTCCCTGGCGTGCAGAGCTTGCTGGTGTTACCCAAAGGGCACAGAGCTGAGCCTCTTGCCCTCAGCTGCGCCCTCAGTCCTGCCCCTCCCCGGATGCCCGGGCTGAGGAGCCCTTCTCTTCACGCTGGCCCCAAAGGGCTGAGAGGCGCCCATCCCGCCTCACCTCTCCGTGGACAGGAGCTTGCAGGCGTGGGGAGAGGTGAGGGCAAGAGGGCTGAGAGGCGGGTGGGGCCCTGCACTGGGATCTGGCCACGGTGAACACTGTGGGCAAACAAGCAGCAAGGTTCAGCCCAGACATTCCGAGGGCATTGGTGGCTGTTCCCTCACCTCTCGCCGATTGAGAGCTGACAAGGGGCCTGCCTGGGGCCAGACTTGGTCCCTGCTCTAGGAGTCCCTGACAAGTAGACCAAATTCCTCTCAAAGCAAGAGCGTAAACCAGCCTGCCGGTCTGGCTGGGGAAGCTGGGGGAGGCTTCCAGGAGCAGCAGCAGGAAGGGAAGTGCTCCGGGCAGAGGGGGGCAGAAGCGGGGTGGGGCGATGGTGGGTGCAGGAGAAGCAGCCTGGAAGAAGTTAAGCGCCTGGGTCTTGAACAACAGACGGTGCAGCGTGTCCTTGAAGGTAACAGGTGGAATCACTGGGGGATGTGATGATCCTGGAGCAGCCACAGCCCTCGGGCCTCAATTTCCCCATGTGTCCAATGAGGATCCTTCCTCTAAACCCACGCTCCTGCCCCCACCACCAAGGCACACACCTCCAGGAAGACCGTAGTCTCACTGGCAGCCTGATACTTGTCTCTCTCGTGAAGGGGCTGTTTCTCAATCTTCTCCCGGTCTGTTTTCAGCTTCCGGTCAGCTCCTTTGGGCTACAGGAGAGTGACAAGGGAAGCGCAGAGCAGCCCCCCCACCCCTTTACCCGCCCATTTCCCCCTTGCGGATGGGGCTCTAAGAAAGAGATCAAGCCCCGTCCCTCTGTTGTACAGAGAAGGGAACTGCGGGCTGAGGGGACGCAGCAAAGCAGGACTGGCATCTACACAGCCAGCCAGGCAGGGTGACGGTCCTGAAAGAGAGGGGGCAGGAACTGCCTGTACCTTGAACACCTTGATGAGGCAGCCAGCTGAGTGCAGGTGCTCAGGCGGCAGCTCCTTGTCACTGGGCTTGAAAGTGTCAATCTGGAGGCGGAAGGGGACACCTTTCTCTCCACCTTTTTTCCGAGGAGTGAACTCGGTGCTGATGCAGTGAACCTGGGGCAAAGAAGCAAAGAGAAAGCAGGGTGATCACAAGTCCCACCCAGTTCAAGAAAGCTCACCTAACACTTGTTACCTGCCTGTCACCTGTCAGCCTCTTACCACAGCAACTTGCCATCCCCAACCAGAGTTTGTTTCTGACAGCATAACTTTATTAGGTTCTTTCCCTTGTTCAAAATCCTCCAGTAGCTCCCCATGGTTATGGGTTGAGAAGCAAAGTTCCTCACCCTCATGTTGGCGCACCTTAAAGAATCAAGTCAAGCCTTTCTGCATGGCTGCTCTCTCTCACCCATCAATGAACACACTGCCCCACCTAGCCAGCCTAATCATGACGCCAACACACTTGCATGGTTCTTCTTAGAATCTTCTACCTGGAAAGCTCTGCCCGCTCACATATAAGCCAACAGGTCCCATTCCAGGGTAGAGTTGCCAGTTAAAATACAGATGCCCAGTTAAATTTGAATTTCAGATGAACAACAGGTAAATTTTTTTTAGCGTAAATATGTCCCAAATATTTCATGGGACATTCTTCTACTAAAAAGTTCTTTATCCGAAATTCAAGTTTAACTGAGTGTCCTGTATTTTATCTGCTAAATCTAACAGCCTACTCCAGGAAGCCTTCCTGGCTTCCACCGCACGCAGCCTGCAGCCTCTGTGTTCTGCCTGGTCCCAGGATTCCAAGGGCAAGCGGGGTCTTCCCCTCTGTTTACCCCCCACTGCCCACTATAGCCCTCCCACAAGCCTGCAAAGAACAGTTAAAGGGTCCAACTTTACAGGTGGGGAAATGAAGGCTCCCAGAGATCATGCGACCTGAGCAAGTTCACATGAGGGAGTGGTGGAAGTGAAATTTGTGCCACATCTGCCTGACTTCCCAGTCCAGGTGCTTAGACCATAGCGAGCACTCAAAAAAGTGACATACGGGTGACTTTTGACAATATTGTTAGATTATAAAGGGAAATCTATTCAAGGAAATATAGAGAATGCTGAAGCTGGGTAAAGAAGAATACAGCCCCCCCCCCCCCCCC